AGCAGAGCAGAGCAGAGGGGACAATCCCCTCCCTGTCCTGCTGGTCCCTCTGCTGGTGACACAGCCCAGGACACGGGTGGTTCCTGGGCTCCAGCACATGATGCCAGGTCATGTTGAGCTTCTCATCACCCAACACCCCCAAGTTCTCCTCAGGGCTGCTCTCCACCCAGCTGGAATTTGTGCTTGGGATTGTCCTGACCCAGGAGCAGGTGGTTATAACAACAACCATCTGCTCATTGACATTCCCAAGTATCAGCCAGAGGTAACTGAAGATGTACAAGACAGGGATGTGCCTGAGCAGCCACCACCACCCAGGAGTGTGTCCTTCACAGGACAGCAGGGGCTGGGCAGGATTCTCCTGCAGGGCATTGACTGGGTGAGCTGCAGGAATCGTGTTGCAGGTAAAGAAAGAGGAAGCTGCAAGGAGGAGAGTAAAAATAGAGATGTTTGGCATGTCACACCACAGGAAGAACACAGTGGTCAGAGGGATCTTATCAGAAGGTGACTGGAGAAGATGCTGAGTATCTTGGGCTCTGTCACAGAGTGACCAGCAGGTCAGGGAAGGGATTGTCCCCCTTTACTCAGCTCTTCTCAGACCCCACCTGGAGAACTGGGTCCAGGTCTGGAGCCTCCAACATAAGAAGGACATGGAGCTGTTGGAGACTCTCCGAGTCCAGAGGAGCCAGAGAGATGCTGGGAGGGCTGGAGCAGCTCTGCTCTGGAGACAGACTGGGAGAGTTGGGGGGTTCAGCCTGGAGAAGAGAAGGCTCCAGGGAGACCTTAGAGCAGCTTCCAGTGCCTGAAGGGGCTCCAGGAAAGCTGGGGAGGGACCTGGGACAAGGGCAGGGAGGGATGGGATGAGGGGGATGGATGAAAACTGGGAGAGGGAGATTGAGGTGAGACATGAGGAGGGAATTCTTTGGTGTGAGGGTGGTGAGAGCCTGGCCCAGGTTGCCCAGGGAAGCTGTGGCTGCCCCATCCCTGGCAGTGTTGAAGGGCAGGTTGGATGGGGCTTGGAGCAGCCTGGGCTGGTGGGAGGTGTCCCTGCCCATGCAGGGGGGTTGGGACTGGGTGATCTTTAGGGTCCCTTCCAACCCAAACCATCCCATGATTCTATGATTAAGGGCTTCTTGGGCAGAAAGTGTAAGGGGTTGTGTGGAGCTTAAAGGAGGAAGCTAAAGATGGAGAAATTGGTGGTGTTGATGCACAGCCTTGCAAGAGGAGAACGAAGACAGTGAAGAAACCAGGGTTATCCCCCTTCCTGAGTCTCCTCAGCCCACTGGTGGCCAGTTTCTGCCACTGGGACATGTGGGTGCAGCCCCTGTGATGAGTTGCTGGTGTCACCCCTGCCTGACGAGGACATTTCAGTGCTGACCCAGGTGGTGCTTTTCTGAGAAGAGCAGCAGAACATTTTGCTTCCCCTCCTGAACCCACAGGAAGTTGCAGCATTTTTTTGGACTCTGTAGCCCAGCAACTGGGAAACACTGAGCACCACCAGGGAGATAACAACCTGATTTCCCCTCTAGGAACCCACCCAGCTCACCAAGGGACAGAATGAGCTGCCAGAGGAGCATAATTTGGTGCTTTTCCCACTTCATTTGGCTCCTGAGCTGCCTTTTTTTCTGGAGTCACCCACTTAGTTCTCTTCTCCACCCTAGAAGGACAAATCCCTTCTCCTGGTGGTGCTCAAGGAGGCCCCAGCTTTTGTGCACAGTTGTCTTGGGGGGGAATTTCATTTCTCTACCTCCTGCAGATGGGACTGAAACTTCAGGGTTTAGCAGCCTTTAAATCTATGTTTGGGGGAGCCTGAATTTCAGCTGGAAAAATCAGTGCTGAGCCTGGTGCTGCTCCTGCCTTCCCAGTAGATCAGGTGAGACACCCAGAAATGAGATGGGGGGGAGGGAGGAGGTAAGAAAAAAGAGGAACAGATGAGTGAAAATCAGGTGGCATCTCTGGTGTGGCAGAGAGCCAGGACTTTCAGGGCAGCACTGAATTGTTCTGAAGAACTTTCCTTGCTGCTGTTCCTTCCCCATCCCATGGGAGACGAGCAGGAGGCAGCTGGAATAATGCTGTGTTGGAATCCCTACCACCAGGCAGGGCTGAGATCCCAGACAGAACCCTCTTGGGACACTGAGCTGAATGATCTGGAATCAGAGTGAGTGGGTTTTGCAGGTTTTCTTCTTGGTTTTGGAGACAACTTTTGGTTTAAACAGTGGGTGTTCAGGCAGGAGTGTTGAACCATGGGATCATGGAATGGTTTGGGAGGGGTATTAAGGATCATCCAGTTCCAACTGGGCATGGCTGCTCCGGCCCTTGGATCATCTCTGTGGCTCCTCAGGACTCTCTCCAGGATCTAAATCTCCCTCTTCCAGTTTCAACCCATTTTCCTTATCCCATCCCTCCCTGCCCTTGTCCCAAGTCCCTCCCCAGCTTTCCTGGAGCCCCTTCAGGCACTGGAAGCTGCTCTCAGGTCTCCCTGGAGCCTTCTCTTCTCCAGGATGAACACCCCAACTCTCCCAGCCTGGCTCCAGAGCAGAGCTGCTCCAGCCCTCCCAGCATTTCTGTGGCTCCTCTGGACTCTCTCCAACAGCTCCATGTCTCATCTAAATATCTCCCCTCTTCCAGTTTTAATCCATTCCCCCTTGTCCTCTCCCTAGTTTAACAATCAAGACAATTACAACTTGACAAATAAGCTGCTCCTCGCTGGTTAATGAGGATTTTAACTAAATGCCTCATCTGTTCCACCAGGCAGGTTAGTGCAGGGGAGGGGAAAGGCTCTTTAATGAGCAAAACAGCTGCTTCCCCCCCCTTTATTATTTCTTTTCAAGTCACAGGTTTGATCCCTTCAGAACAAATAATTGAAGGATCATTTTGGGGGTTCAATGTCCCTCCTGATGTCCAGCTCCATTGAGCCCAAGCCCTTTGAAAAACCACTTTGGAAGGTGTTTTATATAAAGCAACATGAGCTGTGTCCCAGCTCAGGTGCCTGGAGGCCTCTGAGCATATTTGAGCTTGAAAAGCCAGAGTTGTTCTAAATTTGTAACACCTTGGCAGCCTAGCCTGGGTTTTGATCAAGGGGAGCTGACAAGAGGAGGTTTTGCTCACATTCCTGATGTGCCTTCACAGCTTGAAAGGAGGAAATTTTCAGATTCAAAGGGAGGGAAAAAAAAAAAGGAGGGAGGAGGGAATAATGTAATGAGGAGGGAAATGAAGGAAAGCTTAAGTGAGAGAATGAGGGGGATGGATGAAAAGTGGAAGAGGGAGATGGAGGTTGGAGATGAGGAGGAAATTCTTTGGTGTGAGGGTGGTGAGAGCCTGGCCCAGGTTGCCCAGGGAAGCTGTGGCTGCCCCATCCCTGGCAGTGTTGAAGGGCAGGTTGGATGGGGCTTGGAGCAGCCTGGGCTGGTGGGAGGTGTCCCTGCCCATGCCGGGGGTTGGATCTAGATGATTTGAAGGTCCCTTCAACCCAAACCATCCCATGATTCTATGATGATGTCCTGGTTTGAGGCAGGATAAAACAAATTTTCTTCCTGGTGATTTTACTTTCCAGTCAAGCCCCTTCCAAGCAGCTGCACTGGCTGACATGGCCCGTCTTCCAGTGTCTTCTTCTCAGAAGGGACTTCACTAAAAAAGTACAATCACCAGGCAGAAAATTGCTTCTATCCTGCCTCAAACCAGGACAGATGAGCAAAAGCCCTAAGTCACCCTGACATCTCACCCTTGGGGGAGCCAGACCAGTTAAACTGAAGCCTTTTTTCTCCACCTCCCACGGAACAGGCCCCTCCCCACCCAAGTACCACCCTGGTTTTGGTCACGTTGACCCTTTCCAGCCCCCCTTGGATGGCTGTGAAGAGTCCAGAGGCTGGTGAGGGTTCTTACTATGAAGCAGAGTCGTTGAGCTGATACTCTCTGGACCTGCTGAAGCAGGCCTGGACCCCAGTGTCCCTCCACAACCTCTTGATCACGCCGGCCAGCTCAGCAGTCATCACCCCCTCCTCTGCACTGCCAGCCAGCACGAAGAGCTGCCGGGCATCATCCTGCAGGAAGGGGAGAAACCACAGCAGTTGAGGACCTCCAAGTGACCTGGACAGGCTGGAGAGTTCAGGGGGAGAGAAGCAGAATGAAGTTCAGCAAGGGCAAGTAGTGAGTTTTGGATCTGGGGAGGATCTGTGCGGGTTAGGGGGACCTGCTGGAGAGCAGATGTGGGGAGAAAGAACTCAAGGTGCTGGTGGACAACAGGGTGAGCATGAGGCAGCAACGTGCCCTGGTGGCCAAAAAGGCCAGTGGGTTCTTGGGGGGGATCAAGGAGAATGTGGGGAGCAGGTCAGGGAGGTTCTCCTGCCCCTCTGCTCTGCCCTGGTGAGGCCACAGCTGGAGAAATGGGTCCAGTTCTGGGCTCTGCAGGTCAGGAAGGACAAGGAGCTACTGGAGAGGGTCCAGGGCAGGGCCAGCAAGTGCTGAGGGGACTGGAGCACCTGCCTGTGAGGAAAGGCTGGGAGAGCTGGGGCTGTTCAGCTGGAGACTGAGGGGGGATCTCATCAACCCTCCTCAATATCTCCAGGGGTGTCAGCAGGATGGGGCCAGACTCTTCCCAGCAGTGCCCAGTGACAGGACAAGGGGCACTGGGCACAAACTGGAGCACAGGAGGTTCCAGCTGAACATGAGGAGGAACTTGTTGACTGTGAGGGTGACAGAGCCCTGGGACAGGCTGCCCAGGGAGGTGCTGGAGTCTCCTTCTCTAGAGACATCCCAAACCCACCTGGATCCTGTGGGATCTGCTGTAGGTGATGCTGCTCTAGCAGGGGGTTGGACTAGATGATCTCCAGAGGTCCCTTCCAACCCCTCCAGCTGCTCTGAGGAACCCCAGCCCCCTCTCCCATGCTCTATATCCACTCCTCTCTCCCAGATCATCCAGTTGTTTTTCCCCAGGGATCACTACACCCCAGGAACAGGCAGCATTTCCAGCAAAAACCACGAGATCCTTGGTAACCTGGTGCCACGTTTCCATGGAAAGGAAGGAAGGTCAGTGTGCTCCTTAAATGATAAAGAACAGCTTTTACACTGGAAAATCTCTCTGGCAGGGCTGGGCTGTGTGGCAACCAGAGGAAATGAGGGATCAATTAGCAAGGTTTGGATGATTAAAGCAGGGAGGATTTGTCATTTGCTGCCAAGGCTGTGAGAAGGGAGATTGAATTCCTAATCAAGCCTTTCTTAGGAATTATGATTTCCTAATTATTATTTTGTAATCAGCAATGATTCTTCCCTGATAAAGTGCAGGAAAGCTGGGGAGGGACTTGGGACAAGGGCAGGGAGGGATGGGATGAGGGGGATGGATGAAAAGTGGGAGAGGCAGATTGAGGTTGGAGCTGAGGGGGGAATTCTTTGGTGTGAGGGTGGTGAGAGCCTGGCTCAGGTTGCCCAGGGAAGCTGTGGCTGCCCCATCCCTGGCAGTGTTGAAGGGCAGGTTGGATGGGGCTTGGAGCAGCCTGGGCTGGTGGGAGGTGTCCCTGCCCATGCAGGGGGTTGGAACTGGATGATCTTGAAGGTCCCTTCCCACCCAAACCACCCCAGGAGTCTCTGAAAGTTCTTTTGCTGTTCTAACAACGTTTCCACAGCAGCTGCCACAGACTGAACTTCCAGGATCCATCACCACAATTCATTCAGAGCAAGGGAAAGAAATGAAATACTCACTGCTCTGGCAACTTCCCCAAAGTCTATCTTTAGCCTCCCCATGGCTCTTATGATGGCAATGATGGACTGGATGGTATTGCTGTAGACAACCACTTTATACTGTTTGCATTCCTCCTCTGAGTAGCCATCCTCGTGAATAATCCTGGAAGGAAACCAAGCTGTGATTCCCAAGCCAGACCAGAAGGTCACCAAACATTTCTTACTTCATCTCACACCCAAGAAAATGCAGTTCACAGGCCTAGACTCTCACTTACTTCATCTGCTTCACAATGGTGCTTTTCCCAGACTCTCCAGCACCTAAAAAATAAGAACACACAGCAAAAATTCCAATTAGGAAACATGAAAAGTGGAAGAAACTCTTCCCAGTGTGACATTGGAGTTGATGGGATCTGGGGTGAGATATTTCTTGTACTTTGCTGCTGGTAGCAGAGCTGCAGAGCTGCTGTCCCAGCCCCTTGGGTGGGATTGCTGCAGAGCACACCTACAGGGATCAGAGAATCCCAGAATCCCAGATTGGTTTGGGTGGGAAGGGACCTTCAGGATCATCCAAGGGACACTTCCCACCAGCCCAGGCTGCTCCAAGCCCCATCCAACCTGCCCTTCAACACTGCCAGGGATGGGGCAGCCACAGCTTCCCTGGGCAACCTGGGCCAGGCTCTCACCACCCTCACACCAAAGAATTCCCTCCTCATCTCCAACCTCAATCTCCCTCTTCCACTTTTCATCCATCCCCCTCATCCCATCCCTCCCTGCCCTTGTCCCAAGTCCCTCCCCAGCTTTCCTGGAGCTCCTTCAGGCACTGGAAGCTGCTCTCAGGTCTCCCTGGAGCCTTCTCTTCTCCAGGCTGAACACCCCCAGCTCCATCAGCTTGTCTGTCCTTCCTGGGCTTTAATTACAGATGCTAAAAAAAAAATTAAATCAATCTCAAACCCTAGGAATTTGATTTTCCAGAGCACACTTCCTGATCTCAGCAGGCAGCCACCTGGGAGGCAGGTCTGAAAAACTGGGATGAGAATTTCCCTCACAAACTATCAACCAGCCCTTTCTTCCAGCTCAGTAACCACAGCCCAAGGCAGCCCCAAGTGCATCAACCCTTGGGAAGGCCAAGCACAGATCCTGGAGCATTTCCACAAGGAACATCTAGTTGGGAAGCAATCTTGTGGAATATAAAGTGGAAAGGAAGTAGCTCCAGAATTGAGCTTAAAAACATGCAAAATTGCACTTGCAGCTCCAGGAGAAGCAGCTTAAGGCCCAGAAACATGTTAGTCTTTCAGAACAGGAACACCAAAATGGATCTTCATAGGATCATGGAATGGTTTGGTTTAGAAGGGACCTTCAAGATCGTCCAGCCCCAAACCCCCTGCATGGGCAGGGACACCTCCCACCAGCCCAGGTTGCTCTTGCAAGTTCCCTTCTCCACTTAGCACCAACTCAGCCAAATGTTGCTCATGATCTTCCAGCCTCAAGTGTTGCTTCCATGGTGGAAGGCCCACCTGCACCCCCAGCACCCATCCCTGCAGCACTGAGCACCCGGGTGACATTCCTGAGCTCTTCAACAACCCCAGCACAACTCAAAGACAACACTTGTCCAGACATGAACTGGGAACTGAGGAGTGTGTGTGAATCACCAGCAGGAAGAGGAGGGACCTGAGCTCCTGTTCCAACCCTCCAGCTGAGCCCACAACCACCAACCAACCCTGGGAGCTTCACCCTGGCACACCCAGGGGACATGCCAGGGAAATGTTACTGGATTCACAAGCTCTGTTCTCTCTCCTTTCCCACAATACAAGGATGATCCTTCTGGGAAATGGAGGCTGAAGAGACCTGCAGGTTCAGCTGGGAAATGAGCCATTGCCAAGGGATGATTTCCCCTTGGAATGTCAGAGCTGCAGGCAGTGGCACTTGGACACACCTGCATCCCAAACAGCTTCCTGGGAAGGCAGGGAAACCTGGCAGAGAAACCAGGCCCTGTTGTGGTGGGGGGGGGGGGGGGAAGTTATCCCTGTCTGCCTGCCAGGTCACAGAACCCTTCTGGTTGGAAAAGACCTGCAAGATCATCCAGTCCAACCCTTAACCCAACCTTTCCAAGGCCAGAGCTAACCCAGGTCCCTCAGCACCACATCTACATGGCTTTGAAACACCTCCAGGGATGGGGGTTCAACCACCTCCCTGGGCAGCCTCATGGCAGGGGGTTGGATCTAGGTGATCTTTAAGATCCCTTCCAACCCAAACCATCCCATCACTCCCTGATTAGTTCTTTCTACCCATTTCCAGCTCTCCCAGGGTTCTACCTCCATCATGGGGTGGATTTCTGCTCCTTTTACAAGAGAACAAAGAAACATGCTGGTGTTCAACCAACAAGTCCCCAGCTCCTGGGGCTGCCACGACCAGGATCTACATCTAAGGGCACCAACACCTTTAAATGTTGCTAAGCTACTGCCATGAGTTTATCTATCTCAGGGTCCCCACTGGAGGGACCTGTAACCCCAAGAGCTGCTCCTGCATGGGAGGAGAAATGTTTCCCAGGCAGGACATGGGGTGCAATTTAAATCAAATAGCTCCTAGTGTAGATTGCAGGGTCACCAGATTAGAGCCTCTCATAACAAAACACTCAGAGGTTGCCAAGTTAAATGTCTGGAAACCAAAAGATTTCAACTTTTAAATTATTCCTAAGGATCAGGCAATTCTGCATTTGGGTTTTTTTAATTCCCTCAAGCCTTAAAGAAAAGCTATTGCTGGTCCAGCCTCCAGCAGAGCAGGCAAGGTGAACTAGATTCCACCTTCAAAGCTGCTCAAGAAGCAGTAACAGGGGTAAGGAATGAAGCACATTTGAAGCAGAATCTCCTCCTAGATCTGCTCAGATTTTGGAGTGAACACCTTCCACCCAATCAAGTCCTGGACCTGAAGCACACGATGCCACAACCAGACTCTGTCCCAAGCCAAGGGAAGGGTTTGCTTTTGTTATTCCCTCCTCTCCCAGCTGCCAAGATGTCTGTGTCTCTCCTCCAGCTGGATTTAACAGAGGTGGCATCAAGAAGGATGTGGGAATATCTGTGTGTTCCTGCAATAGGTTCTCACCACAGTAGCATCTGTGGTAAGGGGGGAAATAATGCTCTGCAGACTCAGCACTTCCACCCAGGGGGGGACATAAAACCTCATTTTTCTTTATTCTTGGACTGGGTAGAGTTGGTTTGGACTGAGTAGCGTTGGTTTGGACTGGGTAGGGTTGGTTTGGACTGGGTAGGGTTGGGTAAAGGGTTGGTAGACTTGGATAAAGGGTTGGACTCTGTGATTTTACAGGTCTTTTCTAAGCAGAATGATTCTGTGCTGATTTTCACAGCCACCTTCCACAACCCTCAGATGAAGGTGCAGCAACTGGAACCCTTGGGTGTCCCAAACCAG